CTGTTCCAGGCCCAATCAGAACCTCCCTTGCTGTTCCAGGCCCAATCAGAACCTCCCTTGCTGTTCCAGGCCCAATCAGAACCTCCCTTGCTGTTCCAGGCCCAATCAGAACCTCCTGCTCTCACCAGCAGAACATCAACGCTCCTCCTGTCTTGAGTACAGGAGAGTGATCATGGTCCTGACCCGGTTTCCCTACCCGGTTCTGATGAACAGATCCTGTAAAAGTACTCAGACCCTGCAGGTCTAGTGTGATCCAGACAGAACCTCAGATGGTGGAACCAGGAAGACTCTTCCTCTGGTTCAGAGCTCCTCTCTGCCATCACCCTAATGTTTAGAACCTGATTGGGCCGGTTCCTCGGTTCTGCAGAACCGCCAGCTGTTCCACAGAGGATCCACACCCACCATCCGTCTGCTCTGTCCCACAGCCGACATCGGGAGGCCCGACTTCAGCCTGAACGTCAGCCAGGACCAGCAGACCACCACGCTGTACGTGAGCGACCCCCCCACCGCGCTCTTCATCGGTGACCGCCAGTTGAACATCAGAGACGTCTTCGCTGACGACCTGCGATACAGAGTCAAGTACCGGAAGAAGAAGAGCAGCGGCATAGTGAGTAACCTCCCCCTCCTCCCCCTCAGTCAGACACCCCCCCCCATCCAGCTGACGCCTCCTTTTCCTCCAGAAAACCTTGGACTCCGGCTCCAGCGTGATCCCCATGAGCAGTCTGGACCGCGGAGAGAGCTACTGCTTCACCGTCCAGGCCTACATCCCCAGCCGCCGCACCGCCAAGCAGTTTGGAGAGGAGAGCGCCACCAAGTGTTCTGGAGGGGAGGAGCGGTCCATCTTCAAAGGTCAGTTCTGAGCGCGGCGGGTCCGGTCTGGACCCACGCTGCCTTCAGGCTCCATCAGGACGTCTGGGCCCTGCTACTGACCTGCTGCCTTCCTTGTTGCAGTCTTTTCTCCGGCTGTGATCGCTGGCGGCCTCCTGCTCATCCCGCTGACCCTCGGCCTGATCGTCACCGTCGCCATCATCTGCTGGAAGCGGAAGAGAAAAGCGGCGAAGGCTGGGATGGAGCGGCGTCCTCTGAGGGACGCCTAGGCGTCCGCGGCGGAGCGGTGCTGGCTGAGGTTTCTGTGAAACGTTTGAACTCAGCTTCAGCAGCTTCAGGTTCTGTCTGACAGCGGTACGTCTGACCGGGTTCCACCCAACCTCAATCTGGACTGGCTGGTTTCCATGGCGATAGAGAAGCTGGGATCATATTATTTTTTTACTAATGGAATATTTTCTACCTGCTGTTTAATTTATTGTGGCTTCTGGTGGGGTGATTTTATAGATGTTTGAATCAAACTAACTTTTTATGGATCCTGATGTTCTGCTTTGATCTGAATCAATAAAGATTTTCATCTTAAAGCCTGAAATGTCTGTCGGATCACAACACATTTAGAACCGGGCCGGCGCCGGCAGAACCTCCTCCACAGCCAGGCCAAACCTGGGCCAACAGCGCCCCCTCGTGGAGGCCCAGGAGGACCGATGAGGAAATGAAGGACAACAGGCGGGTTCTAACGGTTGGATTTATTTCAGTGCAAAAAGAGATCAACAGCTGAGTTAAGGCCTCTTTACATTCCATCATCTGCTTATTGGTCAAGTTCATTAGTAGGAGGAGTTCTGCTCCTCAGAGGAGTCCCACCACCACCTGCTCCAGAAACGGCAGGGAGGCGGTTCAAATGCAGCAGGCCGCCTGGACCCAGTCTGGGTCCAACCACCGTTCATGGTGAGCAGGAGAGACGAATCAGGAGGGGATCAGGGAGACAGGGTCTACTGGACAGACCGGACCTGCAGGACAGACCGACCTGCTGGACCTGCAGGACAGACCGACCT